AAATATCAGATGTAGCATGTGTATATTCACATCAGCCTTTTTAGTCTTAACACTTACGGTTTCATTTTGTAGGTTGATTATGTTGTTCCATATCATGAACTTCCAAAGATTGATCAGCATGCATTATTTCAGCTTGAGAATGTTGTCAAGAACATTAAGGAGAGTTATGAACAATATCAATTCTTCAAAATTTTTCAGGTATACCTTTTCTTTGATGTATTGACTGCATTAGTTCAGGAACGAGACAAAAACCACATGTGAAACACCTCTGTCAAGTAATGTGATTGAGCCTTATATACGAGTAGCAACGATAATAGTTCCCTTATACCAGAAAATGTACTTGCTTGCTTGACAGAAGCCTAAGATGGTTCTCTGGATGATGAAGAGACTTGGGAATAGTTCCCATTGAAGCTACAGCATGGACAAAGTTGACCATGTTATAGGACTTCAAATGCAAAATGAAACTAAATGAGCAGTACCAACTTGAACTCACAAACAAGTCTGATCACATAAAATCAGGTGGTTTGACTTTCATTATTAAAAGCTCAAATTCGCACATTGATCGTTGATTCGGGCACTTCCTGGATTCTCTGAAGCCATCCATTTTTTTAATGACTATTTGTCTATCACTTACTTGCTCTAGTGTTTTTTTTGCTTATTCTTAATTTTGAACTGTATTTCTATGAGAAACTTTGAACAATACAAGAATCTGCATTAAAACTATCTGGACATTGTGCCCGGCATCTGAGGCAATCCTGTCAGCCAACCCTCCTGTTGAACTATGCCGAAACCATAAATGTTTCCCTGTGCAAAGAAACTCCAAATTCTGGAACGAAAGAAAAGTCAAACTGAAGATTGTCATTGATCCCTGTCACATACACAGAAAACAAAATGTAATGCTTGATCAAGAGTTGAGGCTGTCACAGGCAACATTCACTTCAATGTGGCAAAAAAAATTTGTTAGAAGATGTTGCCTCTGTCCATCGAACAGTTTATTCCTTGAATTCTCAGAACGTGGTCCTGAGGGCATTTAACCGTGTTAGTGAGTTTTCTCTGAGAAAAGAATGATTCCTAAATACTATTCTTAAAATGTCAATGAAGTGTGCTGGAAATTTTCCCGGTGGGTGATGCATATAACAAGTTACTTTTATGCAGCATAATGCTAGATCTATGTGTTTACTCAGTGTTTCTAAGGATTTTGGCATGGAACATTTGACCAATGGCATTTTAGACTTGTTACCTTGTATCCTTCAAATGGATGCCTCCTAAGTGATTATAACTGGCAACAAGTGGAATACCAGAACAGAAGAAGAAAGTCCATAGAGATTCCAGTAACCAGGAACTTTCAGAATTAGGCATAGTGGATAAATATGTGATATTCTACGATTTTATTAGATAGTTTCTTAGAATTTTTTTTATCTGATGTTGTAGCAGTGAGCCTCATATTCTTTTCCCTTCCTATCTTGTCCAAATATTTACAGATTATTCAACGCTTTGTGATCGTCGATCTCTCAAACTTTTACTTTGACGTTGCCAAAGATCGTCTTTACGTTGGGTAAGCTTCTTTTTCAAAACCTGCTTTATGCTGTTCAGCTGACTTCCTTATGTCTTGAGGATCTCTTCATGTTCTAGAAAAAGTTATAAAAGCGTGTTTCTTGAGCAAAAGTTACAGTCCATTGTTTGAGGTGCGATTACAATTTGTCAAATATTCTTTATCCATGCATTTGTGGTTTGATCATTTTCTATCTTTTTTTTTTGTCCTTTTTTTCATGAGAAATGTGATCCAAAAATAGAATGATGGTGTATAGGTATAAAATTCAATCATTCTTATGCATTTTCATAGATATTTTCTGCTTTTAATGGACATATACCATTTTTCTCCTGTCTCCCTGTTTCATGAAAAGCAATTAAAATGTGTTAATGAGGCTTCTATTTACTTCATTAATTTTAGGGGAACAACGAGCTTTACGAGGAGGAGTTGCCAAAGTGTCCTTGCAGAACACTTACTTTCCATAGTAAAGGTGGTTGCGCCCATCCTCCCGCATTTGGCTGAGGATGTTTGGCAACATCTTCCTTTTCAATATACTAATGAAGAAGGGCAAATTGCCAAATTTGTCTTTGAGTCAAGATGGCCTATAATTAAGGAAAGATATCTCGCTTTTCCTGTCGAAGAAGTCAATTTTTGGGGGAAAATTCTTGAGGTAATACTTATCTGTGAAAAAAGACTACAAGATATGTGCAGTAACTGCAGTTTCAAATCTCTGTGTTTAAGACAAAAAGTGCATCTAGAGTAAAAAGCATTTTAAGAGATAAAGTTGTCATGATGACCAAATTTGGATGATATTGCCTAATCCCCTCTTTTTCGTATTAGATAGATGCATAGATTTGTGGTGAAGAATTGAAAGCTATAGGCCTTCAATTTACTTCAGTATTGATTTCCTTGGTTTAGCTCCATTTCTCACCTTAAGTCCTTGTTTTTTGCTGCTTAATGATGGCACTGAACAGCTACATTTCTTATAGCTTGTTTTTTTAGTCAAGTCATTGGCCAACTTCACAATTTCTCAATGTGATTTGAGAAAATGTACGAACTAAAGTAAAATGCTTGTCTTTTCTCTCTCTCTCTCTCTCAAAAGATGTGTATACACATGCACATTTATGCATATCTTTCTTTCTATCAACCAGATTTGAGCTTAACAACTAATTCTAACTTAAGATACTTTGACCAGCTAAGAACTGAGGTAAATAAAGTGCTAGAGGTTGCTCGATCTGGGAAGCTAATTGGTTCAAGTTTAGAGGCGAAGGTCTACCTCCACACATCAGATGATACCCTAGCTGCAAGATTGACAGAAGCTTGTAAATCTGAAACTGATGCTGATACGCTACCTCGTATATTCATTACATCTCAGGTAATTTGGTTCATGGGTTATATCTCTTTGCAATTGCTGACTCTTGGAATTTCAACTAGTAAATCACGTAAAAGTTAGTCTGATGTGTATAACAAGCCGATTTCCTTTGCATTTAGTTTTCCCAAGACAATGCATTAAGGAACTCTCTTTCTTTGTTTTTATTTGCCTTTTTTGGAACTCCTGGACTTGTGCAGCACGGGCAGTTATGCCATGGTGCAGTCCTCCATACCATGCTTGTGGCACACTATTAAGGAGGTTACCATTACAGTCTGAGAGACTTGTCTTATTTATGTAGGAACCTGGTCGTTCTCCATTTGACAATGTCCTTCCCCTTGTTTTTTCTTTTGTTCCCTCAAAACTTAAAAGCTGTCAGTAAACAAATAAAGGTCTTACTACAGTATAAAACCCACGACGTGTAAATGACTCACAACACAAACTAGAACAGCCAATGGTCACGCAGACTAAGGCAAAAGCGACACAAAGTAAAGTGTCCTTGTTATTTTCTCAAATATCTTCAAAGCTGTGATAAGCAACTATATATCTTGATATTCTTCTTCAATCTTTTCTGAAGCATTTGAATTTAGGCTTTCTGAGGATTAACCCGTAATCGCACATCGGATGCCATCGAATGCTTTTTACGAAATTTCTCACTGAAGGTGGACAAAATTAATTCTGTCCAATCAAGCCTTTCTTAATTTTATGACTTGTGTCTCATAAAGGGTTTACTTGATACGTTGGAAGAGGATTTGAATTGAGTTGGAGGTAAGATTCCAAATATTGGTTAAACTGCAAGCCATGTTTTAGACAGAACTTTGGCCATAACCATCATAAAGGAGAGGTTTAGTAGTTATTGAGTGATTTTATACATCACCTCTTTGATGGTTATATTTTAATCCTTTTGAAAATAAGAAATAATTGTTTGGTTTACTACAGGTACAAGACATGAATCAGGGTAGGGTTGAGTTTGCCTTATCAGCTATGATGATTAATTGTGTGATGCAGGTGGAGGTTCTTCCATCCCTGGAAAACGAGCTTACTGAAGATGCATCATACACAGGAGAATTTCTCATTGGAGGAAAAGACAGAGTATGGATTCACGTAACGCGTGCAGCGGGCTCAAAATGCGAACGATGTTGGAATTTTTCGCCTCAAGTTGGCTCTTTTGATGAGCACCCTTCACTTTGCAGCCGTTGTTACAATGTTGTCGCCGGTCAGCCAGAACCTGCTCTGGCAGCTGTGAGCTGAAAAACTTGGGGAGGTGAAAGCCCTCCCTGATAAGCTTTTTGAAAGCCATATTTGAATCACTCTCAGTTCAGCCAAGCTATCATTGGGCCTCGCAAGTTAGCTACAAGAAATTCTCGGATTTCATTATTTTGAAGAAGACCCAAATTTTGGAACTTGCAAGTTTTGGTGTCAATTGATATGTAAATACATTGATCTGAACAGCTTAGAGGCAATTCTGGGGGAAGTAGTACATCCCATTTACTGTTAGGAAAACCAGTAATTATATTCAAAACAAGGGATGTGTAGAAACATTAGAAAGCTGTGAGTGTTTTAGCTGATCAGTGCAAGAAGCATTTTCAAGATTTCTAATGCAAAAACTGTTTCATCTGCTTCCATTACATGACAAGCCTGCAAGTTAATACTTATTGAACCATTATGATGCTGTCCAATCACGAAGAAGATATATATATATGTCCATCGAATTCAGTATAAGATGAAGTAGTCAGAAGAATCCAGTCTGTTTAGAATGAAGAGTGGCGGCAGTTTTAAAAGCTGGAGTTGATATTGGAAAATCGACTTCAGTTTAGAATTCGACGGTTGCTTCACGAAATCTAAATATAGAAACTAAATAATCAGATTCAGCAAAATCCGCTCGTTGACTGATTATATATTTTAAATTCTTTTAGTGATTAAAACATACTTAATATAATTAAAATATGAAAACATCTCAAAAACTAATTATTCAAAATTAGAAACTATATATCATCAGTTAAAAATTAAAATAATAATTATAGATTTTAATTTTGTAGTGAATAAAAAATATATATATATAAAATTAGAATACAACAAAAACTATCGACAACATCACAAATTAGTTACAGCTTTCTCGTTCGTCTTCGTATGTAGTTTTAGTTTTATATATATTCAGAACTCAGAAGCTCCTCCATCAGTCTGCAGCTCATATCCTCAGTGTTATGTCACTCCAAATTTCCAACATCACCTGAAAGTCTAGCTCCACATTTGTGCTTCCATCCAAAATACACCGCCCACGTTGCATTCGCCGCTTCTACGCTTCGCTTTTCCCAGCTGCAATCGCCGGTCCCGCCACTGCATTCTCAGTTGCCACCGCCGTCACCGTAGCTTCCAGGTTCTCCTTTCTTTAAACAGACCTAGTTCTTAAAAATAACCAAGCGATTTGGCAATGAAATTCATGATTTATTGTGTATGGTTCTGAAATTATTAGTTGCTCTCCCACAGTTAAATCTATGGATTGTGCTTCAGACCAAAAAGAAGAAGAAGAATTATATTGGTTAGTGCACGTTATCTTGCTTTTTATGTGTCTTACCTCAGTGATACGATACGATTGATGAGGAGGATTAACTTGAATTGTGTATTTACCCAGGGAAAAAAAACCAGGTCTTTGATGCAAGACTTCAGTATTTCCCTTTTAGCTGCCTCTCCACTCTCTTCAGGTTTATGATAATCGCATGGAAGCATTCTTCTCGCATATGGTTACTCAGCCAATGTGGAGAATGTTTGCTTAAATTTTTTTTTATCTGGATTTTCACAAAAACTATCGTCTCTTGAGCGCCTGCCTGATTTATTTTATGTTTTTTAATCCCTCATCACAGAGATGACCCCGAACTTGATAGAACGCTCAAGGAAAGAGTTAGATGGGGTGATCCTATGGCACATTTGGTCAAGGTAGTTTTCTGATTAAGTTCTGCTGTTTAATGGACTGGCCCCAAAGAAAATTCTTTTGTGTGAACTCATTTACCATGTTGCAGTTACTAGAGTTATTCGTTAAATTTAGTCCTAGTAATTATTTTCGGTGGTTTATGATCAATACTGATCAAATGTTTGATCTTGTGCATCTACTAGGGTTTGAGAAACAAATGTTCAATAGAATGAATGAGAAACAAGCTACAGAGAGGGAGGCGTGTTTGTGCTCTGCGTCAGATATGCGAGGAGTAGTAACCAGTAGCATACGACACCTGACGGGTTGAAACTACAGAAAAGACGAGGACAAGGGATTTATCGGTGGAAAACCAACAGAGGATTGACTGGAAAGGCAATCAACGGCACGAATGAGATTAGACCTGGGGAATGGCAACTTTGTCTTGTATCCTATTCATGCTATTGCAGCTCTCTACTGCAGAATTTTTATTCAATGCTAATACTACTTTTTCTTTTTCTTTGACCCCTGGTACCGCCTATTGAATAATCTTTGCTTCGAGAATCTGGACACCCTTCAAAAGTTTTGTGGAAGAAATTTTGCACCCTTCAAAACATAAAAAAGAATCTTAGCCGAGGAAAATTAACCAATTTTGATTCAATAATCTTTGTTTCAGCAAATTTAAGGAAATAAACCAAATAATTCTTCTTTTTATTACCAAAAATTAACCTGAGCAAATTACCCGCGTCTACCCGCGCTGTTGCGCGGAAAGAGACGCAATTCCAATGAAACGTCACTATTAAAAGAAAAGTCACTATAGAAGAACTAGCTCTAAGCTTGACTCAGTAATTTTCAACGAGGCAATTTAGTTGTAAAATATCTGCCACCACTTGAAGAATATGAAGTAAATCTTGTATTTTTTTTTTTAATTTACAGGCACAGATGGAAAAGCTATCGGTTAAAACTACGTGACTAGATTAAGACTCTTCCACTATTGTTTGGCCAAATGGCTTAATGTTACAAGTATGGGAGCTCGGCACCAACCAATGACTTCAAAGAGAATTGAACTCAGCACCAGATTCTTGAAATGGTTGTTGCATCAAATCTGATCCATCTTCATCTTGGGATAATATTGGTATATCCTACCAAGGATAAGCCGGGTAAGTTATGAGTCATCATCGAGAAAAAGAATTACGGCATCCCACCAATGCCATGACCCCCAATAAAACCAGAAACATGTCGCAAAGCATACTCAAAGGAGAGGAGACCATTTTGGACCAAAGTACCAAAATCACTAAGCCATTTTTCCTTCCATTGCATAACAAAACCATAAAGCCAACTAATGCTCATAAATCAACACGAAATGATGGGGGGAAAGGGAAGAGGGGAGGGGGGAAGCGGCATACTACTAACACCAGTTTTCATTTGCTTTACAACAGTGGCACTCTCACAACAAGCGGGATAGCAATTACGCTTCTATCCTGAAAGGTCATGCATGTCCTAAAAGTCCATGTATACCATACTGCGAAGGAGAAGCCATGTATTGCAATTGTTCAATTCTTAATCACTATATCAGAAAATCAAAGAAGATAAACTAGGGTTTTACATGATGCCAGTCAATACCTGTGTTTGCAACAATTGCTGCGATTGTTGGTCCTGGGCCACAGGGTAGACCTGGGGTTGAGACATCCGGTAATAGGGTTCTTTTAGATCAAGTTTGCCCGTTGAAGTATGGAGTATTCCACCTTGTTCAGCACCAGGGCCCCACGTCTTAGCTATTAATGACACCAATACAGTTTTTACTTTTACTAACAAAAATATGGTAACATTGGCAATTAAGAGAAACTAAAATTATCACAAGTCCAAGTCAAGTAAATTGTAGAAGGAACTATAATGTCTAACCAGATAATGTCAGGTGAATTGTATAGCTCTGAGCAGTGTGGGCAGCCAAGTGAAGTCGACCAGTTATTTCTTGTCCAGGCATGACATAAATTGGCTGAGATAAAACACAACGTAGCTGGTACCAGTGTGTGGTAGGTGAGCCAGGTGCTGTGCTCAGCCACCTCTGAACAGTGCTGCAGGCAAAGAAATTTTACACGATTGCTTTACAATGCAATCAATAACTAGAATGACTACTGAAGAGACAAAAACGGAACGGCTTACCTTCCATTAAATAGTACATCAAACCAGCAAGCCAAACCATGAATTCGAGTGCCAACAGAAGACACAAATTTTAAAGGGATGTCTATGTCATATAATTCTTCCTCCTGAAATACGATTGAGATTTACATTACCCTCATGATGCCAATCAGGGATCAAATCAAAGCCAATTTTTCTTCCTTCATGTAAACACCCCAGCATATTCAAGGTATAACAGGACCCTTCTTCACCTAATTAAATTGAAAGAAATTGGGGGTACAACTGGACCATTGCTTGGTAAAGAGCACGTAACTTGCAGCAGCAGAGACTTTACTAGTACCTTGATTGAAGTGAAGTTTATCACATGAGAGATTGCAGGAGCCACTAATAACCTTGGATCAAAAGCATCAACCACAGGCTGTAGCAAACAGGAAGCAGGTTGTGAGTAGAAGAAAGCACATAATTGATGAGGCAAAAATTAAAAACCTATTCTCTCCAAAGAAAAGACAAATATAGGGTTAACCAATAATAAAGAAAGGGAGACTGATGTATAGTTTACTACAAAATAGGGCAGAGAAGTGACAGGAAAAAATTTTCAGAGATGGACGAGAACAAAAATAAAAATTTCTTCTCAAGACTTAGAAGAAAAATGCAGATGTTTATGAGTCCCACCAAAACCAGCAAGTCCAATAGGATAGATGGAAGTTATGTAACATATTTTGAGTCTACAGAAAATTTTGCAGAAGCTAAGATATAGCACACACTGATCATGAATGCAAGCTTTTCTCATCACCTCCTTTTACTTAACATTGTTCACTGAAAATGCACTTCTATTTCCAAAACCCCGCCCTTCATTTTGATTTGAAGATTATCAGCTAAAAGTTTTCCAACTAGTCACAGAGGTTATAGGAAATTAAATAGCAAAGAACCTGCAACAAATTCTGCTAAAGGCAAACCATAAGTAAGTCCAAAATCATATACTCTTAAGAGGTTCTTTAATAACATAGACATGTTAATATTGATCAGACATTTCTACATTTATAACATAGCTCTAACTTGTATTGGTGTTCAAAACACCCTCCTCAGAACATCAAAAAAACGGTTGAGTAAAAAAGGAAAATCAACAAGATAAACCATAAATAGTCCAAATTCAATACTCTAAGAAATAAAAAAGTTAGACCTGTGAAAAGTATCCTTGGAATGCAGATCCATGTAACGATGTCAAATTAACACCATAATAGTTTTGCTGCTGCCAAAAGAGAGCCTATAAAACAAGAAATGAATGGAAATTCATGGAAAGGTATGTGTTGTCAAAGGACAGTAAAATTAACCATGACACTAGGACCGCTTCGAAAAAATTACAGACTTTTTGTATTCCCCCCCCCCCCCCGCGGTTTCACCCCAAGTAATGAGCAAGTAGGTAACAGATTACACCTCGAATGTATGACCTTATTCGGCAATCATTCTATGTGACAATATCTCACTGGAACAGCGAGCCATGTGTATTCTGACCAAAAAGCAAGAACAGTCAAGCCATCATACTGCTACACTGGATGAGAAAAGAGCTTTCATCAACCTCTAGAGGTACAGAGACTAGAAGGCTACATGCCTAGAAAATGGCGTACAATATAGCTGCGGAAAGGTCTATCCTAACGATATATTACAAACACTTCGGATTTACATAGATTAATGTGTGTTCGCTTAGCAGCAGCAGATGACTATGCTTAGTAAAGAAAAGAAAGCAACAAAAACAAAGTTCTCGCAAATTAAAAAATAGTTGATGCTTCTTTTGAAATTCATTTGCTAGAATGTCGTGCAGTAAATCAAGAATAAGTAAACATTTGAACCAAGATTTGACCTTTCCGTTTGTCTAGGACAAAATGTGAACAAAATATACTCATATTAAGGCAGTTAAATTGTATCTCTACCCATAAATCTGCTAACTGATTTTGTTAACCTAAAAATGCTTCTTATTTTTTCTTTTTGGGTGGGGGAGGGAAGAAAATTTAGTTTTTAGATAGAATGACAAGTAAAGAGTGCCTTGGTTGTAATAGTCTCTAGAACACTGCTTTTACAAACTGAAATTACCTTCCCACTGCAGGGAACATTTTTCCATTTGGAACAAGGAAACGGTCTCTTGCAATCACATAGGACTCGAGCATTCTCTCATTGACCAGCAAAGTGCCTGCATGAGGGAATCCTTCTCGTCAAATAGATGGTAAACATATTAATATTCATCACAATAGCCCAATAAAGAAAAAGGCCACATGTGCCTCAAGTATTGCATGCGCTGGATGGGAAGTAATAACATAAGATTTATTTGACAAGGGCAATCAAACTTTAACTTCACCGCCCTGCTGGGGGGAGACACACACACACGCACAGGGGTGAACAAAAAGGAGCATGCTGCCGTCCCATGCATTACGATAACAACATTCATGACTAAAAAATGCAGACTAGTCAGCTAAAGGCAATAGGAGAGGAAAGGAATCTGCAAAAAAAAAAAAAATTAAAATAACAAGTATGAAAAAGAAAAGATGCCAAACTCCTCAGCCACAACTCAGCAATCAATTTTTTCCCTTTTTTTTCTTTTTGGTCTTTTCTTTTGGTGAGAAGGGGCTGTGTGTAAACAAATTCAAGGTACATGCTGAAGACCCAAAATGAAGACAGAGGAAACTTCTAAAGGGACTTGGAAAATGAAGATGATGAACGTCAATGCATAAAAAGCAGACAATTAACAGTTTTGAAATTCATCTCTTCCATCTCAGACCACTAGTCATTCAGTATGGCATTGCAATGACAAGAACCAGGAACCTCATCTACTAGATCTCCTTTCGAGTATGACAAAGTGAACTTACCCATAGGCTCAGATATCAAGATGTCAGCTTTCTCAGGTAATTCAACTTCTTCAACTTTGCCCTTGATTACCTATTATAATATAGATGGGAATATTAACTTCCAATTGTATTATATAACAGCTAATAATGATTCTCACCGACAAATCAAATGCCAAGACAAGCACTCACAGTAATTCTTTGACTAAGTATTGGATTCCCAGCAATAAGTTTACGCGCATATTCTGCCATTTCAGACGCTTCAACAGCATAGACATGTTTTGCACCAGCCTGTGAGAGAGAGAGTGAGCAAGCTGCCAAAACAACTCTTCATATCGTTTCTCACAAAAGGAACCACAATAAAGAGCAAATGTTTCTGAGAGATACAAGTAATTAGGAAAACCTGGGCAGCAAATAGGGACAAAATGCCACTACCAGCACCAACATCAACAACTACACGGCCAAAAAAGTCGGCACGGTTCTCAATGACAGCAGCATAATATGTTCCTGAAACATACAAATTATTAATGGCACGGCTTCATAGTTTAAGAA